GTGGTTCCCAGCCTGTGCTCCGCGTGCTGCGGGGCCACTCTATGACAAAACTTTAACACCTTAACACCATTAGCTTGTTAGCATATTTAGGACTGAGGGTCTCCCCCCCCCACAAAAAAAAAATAAAAATTAACTAAATAAGGCTCCGCGAGACAAAAAGCTTGAGAACCACCGGGGGCCTTTTACAACCAAACATAGGAACTTGGAGTTATTTCTATCTCTTTTAATAAAGAAAACCAGAATAGTCTTCATCTACTATTCATTCCATAGTAATTCATATTCCCAAGCACTTACAAAAAAAACAGTCTACAGCAGTGGTTCTCAACCTTTCTAATGCCGCGACCCCTTAATACAGGTCCTCACGTTGTGGCGACCCCCCAAACAAAAAATTATGTTCGTTGCTGCTTCATAACTGTTGAGCGTATGTGTTTTCCGATGGTCTTAGCGACCCCTGGGAAATGGTCCTTCGACCCCCAAAGGGGTCGCGACCCACAGGTTGAGAACCGCTGGTCTACAGGCAAGGACTCTACGGATGTCCATAGGGCGTCTACAGAGCCAGAACGTCAAGTGCATCGGCTTTAGTTTAGAATTTCCGTAAGTTTCTGGGCTCGGGGTGTTTAGATCAGCAAAGAAATAAATGTTGACCGCCTGTGTGAATAGGTCACGTGCTGTCTTTCAAAACAAACATTTCATCGCTCCCCCCCCCCCCCCCCCCCCCCCCCCCACCCCCGTCTCTTACCATGCAACTGACTGTGGTAGGGGATTGGGCACGGGACAATCTTCCATCTACCACTTTAAAAGTGCCATGGTCAAGTACAGGCTTAGCATTCCCAATGAATGAGACACAAGCTATTGGTGTCAAATAAAACAATACATGTTAACCTTTACTGTCATTCGACAATATACACATTGAAACGTTTCCAACCATGTGTGTAAGCCGCTAAACTTCTGCTTAATGTCATATATCGCAATGATTTTTAACATGGGAAACTGATCACCGTGTTTAGATATCGTTCATACTTGTATAAATCGATAATGTAAATACAACATCTCAAAAAGAACCAAAAAAAAAAGAAAAAAAAATTAACAAGAAGAAATAAAGGAAGAAGTTGCTTGTACAGTAAAGAGGGCGTGTACGTTGGTGCCATGGGCGGGTCACAAGCGTGACCAGTAGGACTCAACTTACAACACAACTACATGTTGAGTCGGACAAGCCGCGACAACTTCACAGTCCGTAGGACTCCACAACACCACCACTACATGTTGAGATGGCCAACCCAAGCCGTTTACGACGACGGTCAGTAGGCCTCCTAAGTGTTTGACCTGAGCAGAGCGCTAGGCAGGCACATTTGAACCTCACTCAATTAACACGGCTTACAATATGCACGCTCAACTGATGTGAGTACTACACAAGTTCCCCCCTGCCCTAACCCCATCTTCAAAGTGGGTCACTCTCAGGTTGTCAGATATTGACGTAAATAGACTCCAAGTTTTTAAAAAAAGTTCATTCAAGACAATTCTTACTCTACCATCTCTTTTAGTTCAATCAAACAGTATGACAATATGCTGGCAGCAGCACATGAAGAAGAGAAACAACATTCAAGACAAAAACACATTTTTTTTTCTTTAAAAAAAAATAAAAGTGAGGGGGGAAAAAAACGGGGGTGGGGGTGGAAGGATCTACAGACTAAAATATTATTTTATTATTAAATAGAGTCAAGGCAAGGCTTATTAAGGCCAGCAATAGACCAGCAATAGGCCTAACTTAACCAACTATTATTCATAGATCGTTTAAAGGAAAAGAAGTATAATTATAAGAGAGCTCATTCTAAATGCCGATATCTACTACTTACCGATAGTTCCAAAAAGTAAGCCTAAGCCGATAAGAAGTAATCCAGTCATTTTCCTTTTCATTGTTGCTCCGCTAGGCTGGGGGAAATGCCGTTATCCGCTCTCTATTCATCACTCCTCGGACATAATGGTCGTGAAATGCAGTGTAATCCCGCGGGTACAGAAAGAACGATCCACTTGCGTCCGTTGCCCCTCACTGTCAGCGACTGGCTACAGTACGTTAATCCACTAGTTAAGATGCTGGTGAACCTACTACTAGCAATGGAGTTCAAAGTTTGATCGTGTTATTGGTTTTAATCGCGACAACCGAGAAAGCGATAACTAAAGTACAGCAAATTTTATATTTCGATTTTTTGTTTTTTTTTTTGTTTTTTTTAAAATTATTTCTTTATTTGAAGCGTCTGTCATTTAAAGTAACACTAAAATTCGTTAGAATTAATATTATATCAGTAGACCTAGCCGCCTAGTAAGTAAGCCTACTATGAACTATATTAAGAAAAGTTACTGCATATTCTAATTTTTTTTTTTTTTAATTTTCTTTTTTTTTTGCAACAACAAAAATGTCAACTAGACCTAAAGCTTTCAAAATCTCCTATACATAAAAATAAAAGGGCTAATAACTAATACTAATATCAATAATAACAAATGATGGACGATTCAATATGGATCAGCTTTAAGGATCATGAAAAGGCTTCTAGTTAAGATAGTTATACACTCAACTCATGTCAACTGTACTCTGCAGTAATGAATTGCAACGTCCTCGCTACTACAACAGTATCTCTACAGTTATATATAATGTTTGTCCTTCATAAATATGGTCTCATTTATTGACAAAAACTACGTAGTTAGCATAATCATTAATGGTTAGGTAATTGTGGAAATACTACGTCCCAAATAGCGCACTTTCATATTATGACAGTGACAGTTCACACTCACAGGATGGCGGTCAGCTGGGCAGTGTGACTTGAGCCCTTACAATTACCTACAGACAGGTTACAGGGGTCCAACATTTATACACCCATAACTATTTGAACGATGTGTCAGCTATTATTGGTTGACCTGTTTAATCTCACTATGTCCGGTACTATTGAAGTCTAAGCAGAAGATTAATATTAACATTACTGATAATGCTTATGAGCCTAATAAATAATAAATTAACATTTATTCAATTTTACTTTTCATTAATCTTGAATTTCAGACCAGCTTGTACTCTTAAGTCATTCATTGTATGGTCGTCACCACATATTACTATCATTACACATTCACTTGAGCATTTAAATAACATCAGCTTTTACTTTATGTATAAATGTCTGGGCCAACAAAACATAAACTATAATTAGTATGATAAACAGTTTCACATTTTAAAGAAATAATAAATTAGTGAATTTGGAAAGAAAAAGAAGGAAGGAAACAAAAAAGAAGGGGGGGGGGGGAGCGAGCTCTCGCTCTCTTCTTAGTCGTCATATTCATATTGGACAGTGACACAGGGTCCCAATTTCAATCAATAGATTCAAAAGCGAAAGGGTCATACAAAACTCTAATAATTTATAGGCCTTATACATTATTTCTGAATTTATAACTTTATTTGAGTTTGAAATTGTTAACAATATAATATTAGCATGATTTATTAGGCTACAGTACGACGTTCAGCTACGTCGCATGCAATATTTTAAAATATTTAATATAATATATAGGCCTACTCTGCCTTACTTTAAAAATCTAGCATACCTAATGGAACTCGGAACTGTTACTATTTGCCTTAAACTTTACCCAAGGCTTAAGTTTAAGGTGCAAAAAAAATATTTTCCAGGTACGGTAACTGACAAATGCATGCTGGCAATTTAATAATATAATAGTAACCTCAGTTGGGCCTAATAACTCTTAGTTTAATTAGGCTTATTTTACTATAGACTATTGGTTATGAGCTATGATTACTTTCTCAACTTAACCTAAAGTTTAAGCCTAAGCAGACAAAAAAATTCAAATATAAAAAGCATAGGCATAGGTCATAAGTAAGGCCTCATAAGGGGTGCAAACAGAGTCGTTGAGGGTAATGTTTCTCAACAAAAACATTTTTACTAACTGTTACTACGTTATAGACTTCGTCTAGGTGCTACAAGAAACTTTATGAAATGTGAGTGCTTGTCATAGTCTGGTCCTGGTATAGTAAGTAAAGGCTATTTCTTTTACTTTTACTATTTACTTTATATTTTTTAGTATTGCATACTCATACGTCGTCTACCTTGATATTCATAATTCATCTAGCCTAAACTTACTTGACTTTATTGTAACTTGACGCAAAAAGTAGATGGATGCACATTTATCACTATTTTTACTATCCAACTTCGAACAAACACATTTTGAAGTAAAGAATTGCTCGTGTAAATCCAGAGTACGAAACTTTTTCTCGGCCTAACAAACTTTCTATGAACTAGATATCCGTGTGCTGATAGTCGTAAAAACTTTTCCTTCATCAAGCACCCACTACCAAAACATGCGTCAGAGCATTGGCCAGGAGTACACACCTTTGCGGATACACTATTTAATCTCACTCCCTCGTATAGTCTAAACGATTGCGGCCCTAAACTAATAATCCATGTTGAAAAAGAAGAAAAAATTACATTAAATTTTAATCAATAAAAGTTGAAAGTATTTCCCCATTTTGAAAAATACAAAATAATGAATATACATTGATTTAATTGAATTTTAAGCAAATTATATTCAATAGACGAAACAGCATATCTTAATGGTAAAGTTTATTAAAGTCTAAATACCGAAAAAACAATTATTTAAAGAAAAAAAAATTAAATTGTAATTAACAATGAAGGAGAAACGCAATTTTTGTGTGGCATTTAGAGTAAAAAATTATTGGTTATTCTTTTTTATTGAAAAGAACTATAAAATTAAATATTTCAAATATAAATCAAACACATTATCATATTTGGTTTCCTACATTGAGTTTTAAATTGTTTTAACTTTAGAATACAAGTAAAACTAAGATATGACTATATAATTATTAATAAAATGTAAATTTAGTTATGAATTAATTGTTTCATAATCTTTTCTCTTTATTATCGATTTTTCTTTAATGCTGAAAATATTTTTTTTTAAACTGCTGAAGTATTCTGATTAAAAAAACTATACTTTATGCATTTAGTATTTATTTTCACTGCGCAAGAACGGAAGCATTACAAGTAATAACGAAAATGGTATGAATATAAGTAAATTATTTTATATGTTAAAAACGTGTATGTGTTCATCTTGAAAATGACTTCTTGTTGTATATACATATTAGCAATGAAAATATAATAAATTAAATTTCAAATAATACTAATGAACATCCTGCTATCGCTGTGAGTTGACAAGCGGCATTTTTTTAGCGTATATAACCTGTTCTCGATACGTAAACAAATCTGAAAATTTAAATAATATTACAGATTACAATCTAATAGGCATTGGGTTGAGTAGACAAAGGATAAAGCCCTGGCCTTCAGGCACATGCTGACTGAGTTCGCTGTCACTTCATATTTACGACATATTATTTCGGTGGACCTTTTAAGTCTTAATCTTAGCCTATATTTATATCATGATAGAATCATTAATCAAAAATGAAATTTGTCAAATCATCCACCAAGTCACCAAGTTTTTAGTAATTTTTGAGCTAAGAATTTGTTGGTCCTTTTTTCAGTGACATTATGCCTATGATATCTATGAATATACTTCAAAGGGAAAGTGTAATAATTATTTATTATACATAAAATTTACTGATTGTGACAGTGACATGCAGCCATTTTTTATTTTTTGTTAATAATGCAATAATATCTGAATATTTTTTCTGTCATCATTTTTCAGTGATTAACTTAACAATGTCCAAAAATATGCCAAGTAATATAGAAACTATTAAATTTTAAATTTGAAGTTTGTTGAAAAATTTGACGTAGGATAATTAAGCACCATGTTTTCACGAACTTTTTGTTTCTATCTTTGAAATAAATGAATATTATTTAATTCAAACTGAAAATGTTTTTAAATAACAGATCACACATCTTTCTTGAAGTGCAAAAGCTTTAATGAGCAAAATTTAAAGCCATATGGTGAAAAAAGGTTAAAAAGTAAAAACTAATTATGGCATGTTCAATTCATATATTTTCACATAGGTTGTAGGCAATTCGGACAGATCCATTCCATGGCTTCAATATCAGATTTTTCTGGGATTTCCTTATCAAAACTATATTTAAAAAATTTTTAAACCTATTTCTACAAATTAATAACTTTTGTTTTCAATTTAAACTTTATCTGTCATAATCTTTTTAATGCTATTTGAATTAAAACATGGATTTTATTAATCTGATCAATATTATTTGGTTGTTTTAATCATCTTTTAACAGTTGGGGGTGTTAAGCCCCTGCTATTTAAAATATTCATTTTTATGAACTAATTAAGTAAATAAATAATCTACAGAACCATATCTCTTTTACAAATGTTTCCTATTCAAAATATTAGAAGGAACTTTAGTATTAAATTGAATTTTAGAGCTTTTTTTAAACAATCTCTAAATCATTCATCCAACTGCCATTTTACTTTGCAAAAATGACCAGCTTCATTTGCTCTACAAATTTCAGTATTTTAACAATTCATTACATACACGTATAGTTAAAAACTAAAAAAAAGTTCTTGCTGAGTTTAGTTGTTCTTGTTTTTGTATGTAAACTAAAAAAGTTTCACTGTAGACATAAAATTTCAAGTAAAAATAAACAAGCACCCTCTTAGCTGAAGTTTTACAAAGGGTTTGAAGAAGGCTGAAAACTAGAAGGGAAAAGCACTCATCTAAAAAGGCAAATTAAAAATCGATCCCATAGGTCAGAAACCCAAGAATGGTTGTGAAAAGTTCTCTCATTGGTTAGTAAGTTTCTGTCAACTAAAGCGTAATGCCTTTCTCTCTTCTTACAATAATATCAAGCATTTTATTGTATGAACTGAGCAATTAGGGCTTAATACCCCATGGAGCCAATTACCTCCCTTTACCCTAATCATTTTATAGAATTGTGAAAGTGCTCAATGGTGTGGTTGAAAGCATAAGTTATTTTAGTTTTAGGAATGCAGATGATGCATTATGGTATTGAATTGTTAGGGACAAGTTTAGAATTAATGAAATTCTGGAACAAGCAAGACTTCACCCAAACAGATAGTGCAACTTACATTGAATTATAACCAGCATGACAGGGTAACATCTTCTCTTCTAGCTTTAAATAAAACTGTTAGACTCAAATAAGAATCAAAATTATAATATATGATTCTGTTTTAAAGTCAGTCTATTTTAAATACTGTTTTGAAAAGGTCCTTTTTAGGTAACTTAATTATTCTAATTAGTTCTATATATTAAGGGCCCACGATCAATTTATTGATCATTTTGGCTCTTATGCATGTAGAGGGGATTTGCAATGTTTCTTTGCCTGGTGCTGATGAGGATATTTCACTGGTTGCAAGAGCTACTTTATGTGGGTATCATGCACTGGGGGTTGGAAAGCCTGAGGCAATAGACGCAAATGTGTCAAATGTTGTCGTCTCAACTGTTCCTTTTGAAAGCTTGTTCCAGTCCCTGATTGTCTTTGGCAGAATTGAGCAGTTCCTATACCGGCTTCTCGCTGGTATGAATCGGAACGGCCTGTCTTGGCCTCGTCGCTGTCTATGGGGGAGAGGGATGAGTTTCTGTTTAATGTTGAAGCAGTGGACCAACCCATTATTTATCTTGTACATCATGGAGAGCCTTGATAGTTATCATCGTTCCTCCAGTAGTGACCAGCCCAGTGTTTCCAGCATGCTGCCAACACTTGAGGTATTCCTTTAGCTGTTCAGGACAAAGCGTGCTGCCCGTTGCTGGACCGCCTCCAACCTGTCGATGCTCTTCTGTGTCCCAGACTGAATGTGCTAATCTAAAAGCGGACGGACAAAGGCTTTATAGGCTCTTTCTTTCACACTTGAGTTGCTGATCTTTAGATTACGCCTTAAGAACCCCAGGGTCTTGTTTGCCTGGTTGCACACATTGTTAATATGCTTGTCCCAGCGAACCTCTCTTTGAATGGTAACACCCAGGTACCTTACAGAGGAAACTGGCTCAAGTATATGGCCATGCAGTTCGTAATGGTATTGTAGAGGAGTACAACTTCTAGAGACTGACAGAGTCTGGCACTTGGCAGGATGAAATATCATGTCCCACTCAGCTAACCGATTGAGATCCTGTTGTAGCTGGTCCTGGTCAGATCTGTTGGCGTTCTGTTTTGAATTTATGTTTTGTAGTTTACATTTGACATTTTTTGTAATATGAATTTGGATGAAATTTTAGTGTTTATTCATGGAGCATGTTGAAAATTGCAACTAGAGTGTACCCATATAAGAAATTGTGTTGAAAATATTAATATAACACATTTGGCTTGCACTGCACTTTGAGTCACAGCATAAGATTGTACTTTCTATACTAATGACTTGTATAGCAGTAGATCCTCCATTACACTACAGTACTCTTTTTAATTGAAAATTATTATTATTACAGAGCGGCTATCCAACACTTCGCCCACAGTCCTTAGCAAGCAAGGTTATAGACCTTCCCAAGGGTGCCTATGGGGTACCAGATGCCATGATGAACGGGTATAAATTATTTTTAACTTTCAGGACCAGGATATTAATTTGAAAACCAATTTTAAAAAAAATAAATGTTTAAAAACTTTTCTTGAGGATTGACTCTATAATTGTCATAATGGCAGATCATTGGTCATTACAGCCCTTTCATCATTAAAATGCAATAATTGATTTAATGCATTTTGGTTAAGGGGAAATCACTCTTTATAAATGAGTTTGATTTCCATTCCTTTCAGGGCTTGTTTTGTGATTAATCGAGTTTGACATTTTTACAATTTTTTTTAATGTTATTTATGTTGATGCTGGAGATGATTCCCCATCTAGATTGAAAAATTGAAATTGACTTTCTTTATTAGAATTATTTCAAATGGATTGAAATGAAAGCAATGATTTCAGAGATATTCCACATGGTAGTAATGACAGTATTAGCTCTAGCAGTGATGGTGAAATGAGAGTCAGATATTGACAATTTAGCTCTAAGCTTAGTCCTATTGTTACTGGCAAATTCATTTGGGAAAGAGTTGAAATCGAACAGAAAAGACAAAGATTGGACCCCAAACATCTAGCTTAATGATATTCAAAGAGATTTATATTTGTGGATGTTCTTGAGATAAATTAATAACTTATATTGAAAAGCGTAATTTTTTTGAATTTTTTATTCAATACCTTCAAATTTCTGTCCTGAGTTAAAAAAATTCCTTTTTAATTGAAGTTATTTAATCCATTTTTATTATTATTAATTAATGGATGGAAAAAATGGATTGCATAACTTCAATTGAAAGGGAATTTTTGAACTCAGGACAGAAATATGAAGGTAGTGAATAAAAAATTCACAAAACTTACAATTTTCAATATAAGATGTAACTATAACTTGACATTTTCTGAATGAATACTGCTTCCAGTATATCACAAACTTGATTTTTATGAAAGTTTGAACAATTTATGGAGCATTTGGTTGGGTTGAATGCATAAGTTGAATAGTAAAATTTTACCCACTCTATCAACATGCATAACATAAAAACCAACTCTTTTCATGCCATAAAATATCTAGTCCAATGTACTTTCAGGACATGTTTACTAGTAAAGTTCTGTGAATTCATTTAATCTAGGATTTTGCCATTTTTGATATGCATATGAAAATGCTAAAAATGCCTTGACACTGCAGAAAAAATCACTTGACATTTATGTTTAATTATAATTCAGTTTCAGACTGTTAAAAGTTCAAGTTCTATCTTTCTTTTTTTCTTTGGATGTGGATGTGAACTTGTGATCAATATTTTCTTTTAAAGTATTATCTCTCTAACTAGTAAAAGTCATGCTAAAAAAAAGTTAATGAATGCATAAGGAGAATCCTTCACAGTCTTTCATTTGAAATGTTCAATTTCAGACTGATGGCCGGCAGAGCCAGTGCTGGTCTTCAGACTGCTCACCCTCTTCAGGCTTCAGAGGAACAGGTCAGTTTAAAATAATCGTCAAGTAGGCATCCTCTGCCACTAACAGTGATTCTGGGGTAAAAATGGCTAGATTTTCTATTTTCTGAGGTGGGATTTCTTAAAAGGTTATAAGAACAAGGGAGACATGAGTTTTTAAGTTATGTTTTCCGGCTGCAACAAGATGGCGGAGAAAAAATTCAAAAGAGCACAAAAGGAAGGAAACATGGATTTTACAAGAAAATAATTGTATGAAATAGTTCTTTCTTATGAATATATGCTTAAGAATCTGCAGAGGATCAGAATCTTTGTTTCAGATACGTAATTTTTCTCTCAACAACATTTCGTTAACAAAATCTCCATTGTCACTAAACAAAGGATAACTTCCGGCTACAACAAGATGGCGGTATAGTAATACACAATAGGAAGGAATCTCAGTGTGTAGACGCTTCAGTAAAGCAAGGGGGATAGTTAAAGATGATTATTGGAAATTGTCTTCGACGCAAGAAAATTCGAACTTTTCATTAATTTTTATTGTTTTGCGGTTCCATTCAGGATCAGAATTTATGCTGTTATCAACGTATTTCTCCTTTAAATTACAACTACAATATAGATCTACTGTTGAGCTGAATAGGAAGAAGCCATCTTGTTCGGAAACAGCCGGAAGTCTCTGTACTCAGCTCTCACCTGTGGTTCCAAGAAGCTGTAACATGCACAGCGACTACAACCCAGACGATTCCAGGTTGAGGGTAGCCGAAGGGCATAGAACTTTCGGAAAAAAAGGGGTTGTCCCCCATAGCATGTAAAGACTGAATCCGGCAAATTGTGCGGAAGAACCACTACTTGGTCAACGGACAAAAGGCGGAGACAGCACAGTGGTGTGAATCGCTGAGAACATGACCAGACACGTAGAACGCCATGGTCATTCACTGCATGGGTGACTGGGTGGCCGAATGGTCTAAACTGAGCAAACCTCAATTTCAGCCAAAGGCCGGTCAAGCAAAAACATCACCCCGGGTGGATGAGACTCGTTAACCTTGGTCGGCAACTCATCTAAGAGAAGGAAACTCTGAATTCAAACCCGGAGTTGGAGTCCCGTAAGGCGCATACAATGTCCATTCCTGCAACCGTACCCATCCCTGGTCGTCTTGACATAGAGTCTTGCCACTGGATATGGTGGGCTCGGACGAGAGAGTGAGGTTGACGCTGCGCAACTCTTCCTCACTTTAAACAAAAGTCACCCGCGCAAGTCATCAGTCACCAGACGACTCGATGGTCATCGTCGATCCTCGACGGACGAACAACAAGTTATGTTTTAATTTATAAATATTTAAAAATTTCTTTATTAAAATTTGGCTTTATGTTTTAAGTCACAAGTTCAGCATCCCATTTCTAGTTCTCTTTACATTTCAATAAACAAACTGACACCCGTATTTTTACATTTTAAAATGCATTATTACTTTTGTAAGAGGTGTCAGACTTAGTAAACAACTCGTAAGGGGTGCTAGACTGGTCAAATAATTTCAAGGTGAAGGGTATAGAAATGGTAGGGGAAAACTGCTATGCAATAGTAGATTTAAGTATTAGTAGTTTTAGTTTCTAATTAAACTGCTCATACTGTCTTTATGAAAGACCCATGTTTTTGAAATAAAGGTTGATATTGTTTATGTGTGACAAAAAGTGAGTTTCTACTATTTTAAAAGATTTGAAAATCTTCATTATACTTGGATGCTGTTTTGGGCTATAATCTTTGGCATTAGAGGTATGTATAAATGAATAGCTTAATTGTAATTTAAATTTGTGAGTAGTTGATGTAAACTTGATGACTCTGTATTTCAGTGGAATGATCACCAAATGAAACTGGACTTGGTCATGTTGAAGAACTCTCAAGGCATCCATGCACCTCTTAAGCTCCAGATGGAACGTTTTGCCGTCTCTCAGGTAGTTCTAGTCTCAATAACTAAATTATTTACTTGTCAGAGTTGGCTGCAGCAAAGAAAAAAAAAATATTTTGAATGACCTTCTTAGCTCTCCACCTATCAACCACTGCTCTAGAGGTTTCCTTAAATTGCCTAATCATTGTTAGACATATATTCTGCTTAATAAAATCAGATGCAGAGACTGCCGTGCCTACACAGTTCCAATATCTTGATGGACACACTAACAGGAGCAGATGAACGCATTCGATTTGAGGATATATTGAACAGTAAGCTCTTGATATAATTTAATAACATAATTTAATGTATTTATTTTTAGAAATTATGGGTAATGCTGTTTTATTTATCAGATTTTAGTTTGTCTGGACAAGTCATTTTTGTTGCCCAATCCGATGGAAATTTTTTTTTACTTAACCCCGGGTATCTATATTACTAAAATTTTTGTGGGACTGGTAAATGTGGATAGAACTATTTAGGAACTGCTGTACTTCAAAAGTAGGTTTATTTTCATCTCCGGGAGATGCTTACTTGTTAACTCTCCTTCTCATCATCCTCAAATTTCTTATTCAAAATTTATGTCACAACTACCAACAAGACTGAGTAGAAATTGCATTTTGCTAGTAGGAAATACTATATAATATAAAATGCTCTTACCTGTGGGCACAGCTATACTTCCCAGATTAGAAAATAATGATTACTCGACATTCTCTTTTTTTAAATTTTTGTTAACAGGTTGTGGTAATTTTTTTTTATTTGGCACCTGGTGATAGAATGGAGAGGCACATTGCTGCCTAAACAATTCTTCATGGACTTAGTTTTTTAATATTAGTATATTAAAGCTGAGCCAACTTTGAAACTTCTTGTCATTGCAGATCCTGCAGACAGTGAAGTAATGGGACAGCCCCATGCTATGATGGAGAGGAGACTGGGATTTTTGTAACTATAGGGCATAATCATATGGAATGGGAGGCCATGTGAAATTGACATACATTTTTAAGACATTTTGTTTGATTTTTGTTTCTCTTGAAAGGCTGGATATCCATGAATCAGTATGTTATGAATTGGTATGTGGTATGTATGAGTCGAGAGGATGTTTTTTTAATTAAGAATTGAAGAAATACAGAATATTTTGTTCTCTGCTTTGGTCAAGTTAAAATAATAGTACCTGCCCACCAAAACCAAGTGACTTTTTGAATGGATGTGTTGGATAAACAAGGAACATTTTCTGTTCGATTTTTTTGTATAAGAGAATAAACAAAATTGATTGACATTCCCCATGTGTGGCTTAATTGATTTTCTGCATGTGTGCATCAGTGAAAAGGTGTGAAATAAGCCAATGTGACCATCTGTGGTTACCCAGTTAGATAATATACCTCAATGTCAGGAAATAATAGAGAAATATTTGTATACGTCGATATGCTGGTTTTGGTTCATGCTAATGACAATGAATCTTACAAGAAACTAGTTGCGGACCATGCTGAAACACTGTACATAATAGAATGCTGTATCAGGACTTTTTGTGATAGGTTTGCATTCTGTGACTGACACATTAATTTTGTGTGATATCAGCATTAATCCTCTCAGAAATAGCTTTCTTGGTCTCTTGGAACTTACTGTAGTGTTTCTAGGATAGAAATTAAAATATTGTGAACATCAACTAAAGGAAAGGGAATGTTATTGTGAACATCAACTAAAGGAAAGGGAATGTTATCATCAACTATAGGAAGGGGAATGTTAATACAATTTGGAGAAAAAAAAACATGTCAAAAAGCTGTTGACAAACTTTTTTAATTAATAATCTATTCCAACGATTACATTGATGAAAATCTTAACAAAAGATTTTTTCTAAAATTATAAGGACAACATTAACTTTTAGACATTATATCCAGATCCATTTAATTTTATTAACAGACTGATGTTCAGCTTTTAGGTACAAACTAGTACAAGAGCTAAAAGATGTAATGTAAAGAAAAAATCATGTAAAAAAAAAAAAAAATGAGCACCATTATTGAATTGACATGTTTGTTTATACAATCCCCGCACCCGGCAATGTTTAAAATTTTAATATGTTACCGATGTGAACAGACATTTTTAGTCAAATTATTATATGATTAACTTCTACAACATTGGTACCTTTTATGAACGCTACCATCTATACAACAGCAATGTCTAAAACCTGGATGATAGCTGCTATGGTATGTGGGGAATCAGTTAAGAATATTTCTACACAATCACTGGCATGAAAGACAAATCAAGGCTGAATTGATCAGTAAGGCATACAATCTTGTGGCTACAAATGTTTGGTTTGTTAGAGGAAATAAGGCTTAAGTCTTGTGTTAACCTGTGTTGCACAGTTTCAATAGGTTAGGTGCTACAAAACTAGGCATATTGTTATTCATTTATTTGTCTGTGGTTGATTCAGTTACTTATAAAACATAAAAACAGGCATTGTTTCTTTTTTAAATATTATTTTTAAAAAAATAATAAATTAACTCGGCATCCAGAGCTTTATTTTTATGCCTGAACGCATGAGATCAAATAAAATTTATTATTGAAATGCAAGAATATAAGAAAAAAACATTATCAGCTACTATGACATGGTGCTACTTTCAGTAAAAAAAAAAAAAAGCAGTTCTTAAAATAATTCTTTTAAATAAAAAGTCATGCTAAAAAATCCTTAAAAGATACTAACATCAAGTATGACAATTTTGCTGATTGCATGCACTATTATTATTAATCTTTAATATGATATATAAGTATATGTGGCATATTTCTTAAAAATATATATATATACTTTAAAGAAATATGTCATTACAAATACAACTCGGTTATTTTTTGTAGCATCTTATAATACACAAATACATTCCAGGATCAATACTTGAATCAACTGATTGCTTTCGGTGAAATCAATAAATGAAATGCAGGTTAAAAAATTGATGTGCACCTTCAACAAATAACCAAAGTTTGCATATTTTATGAACAAAATAATCCCACAAAACTACATTGATCAGCAGATGGTACTATAAAAAATGTTTTTGTTATCCTTCACAAACACAATGTTGTTGTGATACACAGGAATTTTCATGGAATGTGAGAGATGAAAATCATAGATTATGTCCCTTTATAATCCTATTTTAAAACACACAAAAAAAAAAGCTACATTAATTAACTTGATTACTGAAACCAATAGTTATAATTTTTTTTTAAAATCAAATAAATCAATTGTTGTTTTGTATGTAGATACTAAAAGAACAATTTGTGTGTGCCCTTTGAACTTAACTGCAAAAAAAAAATCATTGGAAATAAATAAAAATAACTAAATGCAATGCAATTGAGTATCTAATGAAATTGACCAAATTTAGGGTCATACAAATGGCCAAAATCAAGCCATTAATTAATGATAAAAATATCATTCATTAAATGGATTAAAAACTAAGAATAATGAGTTAAGCAAAGATATTGTCAAAACGGATTTATTTCAGATCATTAACCTTCCGTCAGGCGCGTTTGATCAGATTGATACAAGCCAACTGTTTTTGTTTTGCACACGTTAATGGGAGATGACAGTGAGCTCTGCTTATTGGTGGCTTAATGGCTTCCTTTCCTTTATAGGCCAAGACCGTTTAGTGTGTAGAGGACACTCTCAGGGTGCAGATTTAGGCTGTTTAGTTCAAAATGATGCACCTCTCCTTTGCATGGTACTTTTTTTTAAAATTTGACAATTGTATTATTTTTTTGCTCTGGTAAGTTAATTTCTTCCTATTAGTATATACACTGATACATTATCTTATTATTAAATAATGTCTTTTTGTTTTCAAATTGTAAATATCATTTTGATATATTTCCTCCAAACGAGATACTTAAGCTGATCCTCCAAGGTCAAGGATATAGATGCAATTTAAAAAATACTTATTGGAGAAGAAGAAGTACACAAAGATTTTGAAAATGAGCTTGACACAGAATGTTAAGATGCGGGCGAAACTCGTCGTGAAGATTCATAGTTCGAAAGGAGACGAGGATGATAATGATGATGTAGAAGAAGCTATTGGCAATGATATCTTTTTATTGGAAACAAAATGGAATAAGAATCAACCTTCAAATAGAGTGCGTTTGAAAAGTAGCTATGTCATTCAAAATTTTCCATGAATTATAGGCCATGCAAAAATAGCATGAACATATTTTGAAAGCTGGAGTTGCCCTTTGAGTGATGTGCTATACAAATCAATCAATTGAAAGCATTAAGACAAAAAATTTCATGGTAAAAGGGATCTGAGTCCAGTTGTATAATGTAGGGAGAAATTTATGTCGTTGGCCAATAGTCAAATTTTTTGCATGATAAACATGCGTGGTATCAACGCCCAAATTATTCATTGTGGAATTGATCAAACTATTGTTAGAAGAAACATGATCTGAAAGAAATCATCCCATGAATTAGTGCTGACTCATTCAAAAAAGTAGCAAGTCAATTTTTAATCATCAAATTTTTTGTTCATGTAATGTCTTTGCTTTTGTGAATATGTGATGTTTATTTCAATGTTTTTCCCCCCAGAATTATGTGCCCATTATTCATTGTCAAATAAAATATTATTTCTATCATTAATGTATTGTTTTTTCAACTTACTTTTTAATTTTATATTGCTTGGTGGTTAACTTATTAAAAAATAAATTATTTTACATTATTCCAATAAAATAAACTAATTTAACCATTCACTCATTAGCGATATCAATTTGATACAAAGCGCCCAGTCTCGTTGCGAAAAGAGCGCGCCTGCCAGAAGGTTAACATAGATCATTTTTATAATTTTAAAATATTTTATAATGGATTGTTTGTTTTCTCCAACCCGTATTTATAAACTTATAATCTAACAAAGCCAAACAATCATTTTTTTCAAGGAGGTGTAGGGTGACATAATCCTTGAACCCACTTACATTTTGGTTTAATGAAGTTATAGCTCTTAAAAAAAACTGTTCTACGCAGGTCTATGACTAATAAGTTGTGAAAGTCAATAGTCCTCTTGCGGTGGTGAAATGTGGACTTTAAAATGAAGTTATCTAAGGTTTCCATGTGGTTATGAAAGTCTGGTGTTCTAAATGATGACCCTAGGGGTCCATGTGGTTCACAAAAACTTGTTCAGGCAATAATGAATAAGTTTAACTAAAAGTGATAATAAGCTCAATCTAACATACATTTCCAAGTACAGAAAGATTCATAATCACTTAACAATAATGATAGTAATTATATTATTGATATGTTTGTTGTTCTTGTTTTTCCAACCATTTCACAAATTGATAGAGGTCTGACATGTTACAAAGCTAATATTTATATTGGATGTCTTGAAATTTTATGTTGTTAATTGAAAAAAATTGTAACCAATGCCACATACAATAATACACTCAAAATTAAATATAAACATGTAAAATCAAGGGAAAAAAAATCATTTGTGACAGCCCAGTTGTCATTGCACATCATTTAGAGACAATACATCAGAACATTACTTTTGAAATATAAAAATTGTATCAGATCAAATTGTAGAACAAGCCTTACATTTTTATTTATCAAGAGATTCCTTTACTAACAGAAGACCACCATTTGAATACATCAACATTTAAAAAATTATACCATGGACTTAACTATTAACATGTCTTTTAATTTTAATATGGGAAAAAGTTGATAGTGATTGGTATAGTCTATCACACTTTTAAAATTTAATCTAAAACACTTCACAATTAAATGAATAAAGTGTCATCTTCTTTCAGAATACACCCATCACAACAGAAAGTTCATCATCACTATCAATTTCAAGTTTTATATATAATATAAGATAAAAAAATTAAAATATGAGACATCACACAATATTCCCCTCCCCCCCCTTTTTCTTCACAACATACGGCCCCCCAGCACCCACATTGGGGCCCGTGAAGTAACAAAATATTCTTCATTATCAATATTTTCTTAATAGCTTTGAAACCTTGTCCTATTTTCTTTCGGCCCACACAAGTTTCTCTTTCCATAAAGTATTACGGCCCGCCATACATTTTAAGTAAAATTGATTTTGATGTTGCATTTGCTATATGTACATATATATAACATATATTTTTAAAAAAGAGCATTTATATTATTTAGAGGGATTCTCAACATTTGCATTACTACACAAAAATTGATTTTTAAAAGTCAAAATCTTGGTCTGTCCACAACGCTGGGTTTGAGATTGAGTGCTCTACATGTCTTCCTGTCATAAAACAATCCTGACCAGATTATTCTGTTCAGTACAACCTGATTAGTTCATCCTGTCTTTCATAAGACTTGTGGCATACATAAGGATAACTATAACAATAAGTATATTTGATTTTTTAAATAAAATTTACACTAGAATCATCATCCTCTAATGATAAGGTTCCAAGAACATAAATAATTGACATTCCCATACAAAAAGACAACAAGTTGACTAAGCTGATTTCAATTTCACCGCTAGGTACAACAACTCATGTTCTCACACTGGCTACCTGTTTTCTACAGGTAGTAAATGCATTTTTATTTGAACAGTAGAGATCTATTGCATAACCATCACAAATACTGCAGCTTAACAAAAGTTAAAAATTCAATAGAAACAAAATTGACAGTTAGTAAGATGACAAAATCTGACAGAGTTACTTGTACGTCTATATATCAAGCCTGATTCCTACACACATACACACCCCCAACACTGAAAGGCCTTGGAAGATTTCAAGGACTAAGGCAAAAGAGTTGGGTTTTTTTTACTCGTCAGCTTTTAACTCGGAGGCAAATAATTTTTTGACGACAGGGTTTTCCCGGAGACTCTCATTGGTGGTTTTCGGTGTTGAGGTGAGGTTTGGCAGAGGAGGTCTGGACCCCGTTGAACTTGGTGTGGAACTTGTCACCAGGGGACTGAAGGGCGGCAACTCCCACCTTTCTTGTCGAAGGATTCTGGATGGGGTGGGAAGGCTGGGGATGGTTAATTAAGACATTTGTTAAATTACAGCACTGATGCCAGCAAGATACCATTTGAGAACCATACATTAAATGAAGGGAATGATGCCACAAGGTACAGTTTGAAAACCATTTAAAAGATGATGACGACCAGAACACCATTTGAGAACCATAGAGAACTTCAAAGGCCTTAAGGCCACAAGATGTTCCATTTCATTATACAACTTCAAAGGCCTTAAGGCCACAACATGTTCCATTTCATTATACACAGACCAACTCACTTGTTAATAAAGTCCTTGCCAGGCTTGTCCATTTGGTCAAGCCACTGTTTGCAGAGTGGGAACCTGAAGCTCTGGTTGCAGATCAACTGACAACTCTGTGCGTTAAGAGTGTTGTACACATCCGCATCCATTTTGGTTGGAATGGATCTGATGGGAGAAATAAAACAGCATCAAAGAAGTGATCAAGTCAGCAATGATTCAATAAATATAAATGATTATATGCTCCTAGAAATTGATATCTTTAGAGATAGAAGCATCAACAAAAGTACACCATCGGATCACATTATTGTTAGTACAGATGTACAAGGCAAGATCCCCTCTAATATTTAAGTCACTTTTAGTGCGGATGTACTCACCCACAGACAAAGACGTCCTTTTTGGGCACCGTCTCAGATCTCAGCACTCGTATTTTTGTGGTCAAAGACTCAGCATTCTCCTCAATACTGTTCTGGCAGTGAAAGAACAGATCCTTCAGGCTCTTGCTGTCTGACCTCAGGTTTCTGCCATGGAGCATGCACATCACAATTATGCTTATACATAAATGTCTCTAAATGACATGTGGCTGGTTTTGTTGGACTTAAATGACTTCCCAAGATTTAAATACTTTATTAATATTTTAGAGATATTAAAATAAATTTTTTTCCCTACTAAGTAGTTTATTGAAATATCAGACTTGGATTACTACATGCCGCATGGGATTATGGACTTGGATGGGGACACAATTCAATGTTGTCTCGAGGCAGGACATAAGGTAATCAGACATCTGACAGGGGTCATAATCAGCGGGACATAAGGTAATCAGACATCTGACAGGGGTCATAATCAGCAGGACATAAGGTAATCAGACATCTGACAGGGGTCATAATCAGCAGGACATAGGGTAATCAGACATCTGACAGGGGTCATAATCAGCAGGACATAAGGTAATCAGACATCTGACAGGGGTCATAATCAGCAGGACATAAGGTAATCAGACATCTGACAGGGGTCATAATCAGCAGGACATAAGGTAATCAGACATCTGACAGGGGTCATAATCAGCAGGACATAAGGTAATCAGACATCTGACAGGGGTCATAATCAGCAGGACATAAGGTAATCAGACATCTGACAGGGGTCATAATCAGCAGGACATAAGGTGATCAGACATCTGACAGGGGTCATAACCAGCAGGACATAAGGTAATCAGACATCTGACAGGGGTCATAATCAGCAGTACATAAGGTAATCAGACATCTGACAGGGGTCATAATCAGAAGGACATAAGGTAATCAGACATCTGACAGGGGTCATAATCAGCAGGACATAAGGTAATCAGACATCTGACAGGGGTCATAATCAGCAGGACATAAGGTGATCAGACATCTGACAGGGGTCATAATCAGCAGGACATAAGGTAATCAGACATCTGACAGGGGTCATAATCAGCAGGACATAAGGTAATCAGACATCTGACAGGGGTCATAATCAGCAGGACATAAGGTGATCAGACATCTGACAGGGGTCATAACCAGCAGGACATAAGGTAATCAGACATCTGACAGGGGTCATAATCAGCAGTACATAAGGTAATCAGACATCTGACAGGGGTCATAATCAGAAGGACATAAGGTAATCAGACATCTGACAGGGGTCATAATCAGCAGGACATAAGGTAATCAGACATCTGACAGGGGTCATAATCAGCAGGACATAAGGTGATCAGACATCTGACAGGGGTCATAATCAGCAGGACATAAGGTAATCAGACATCTGACAGGGGTCATAATCAGCAGGACATAAGGTAATCAGACATCTGACAGGGGTCATAATCAGCAGGACATAAGGTAATCAGACATCTGACAGGGGTCATAATCAGCAGGACATCAGGTGATCAGACAATTGATTAGGATGGGTAGGATATAAAAGAGTGATCTGTATACATCTAGTTGGGACCAGTAGAAAACTGGTAAGGGTCAGTAGGACATCTGATAATTTCAGTAGGCCATATCATTAGGCTAGGTAAAACTGGTAATTGAGATTTGTATACACCTTGTTAGAACCAGTGGGATATTTGATATGATTAAATCAATAAAATATTTGCCTGGCATCAGTCGGACCTCTAAGTGGGTAATAATTTTTGTCAACCCAAAATCAATTTTACTGGAATATAACTGATGCGTTGATAGTTATTTAAAAATTAAATTTCGGAACACCAGATGGCACAACAGAAAACTACTTGCCTGCTGCCACCAAAGTTGTCCTTATCCTCAGGCAGCCCCTCTATGACAGCAGTCATAACCTCATCTTTGGCCAGGCTGCAGATTCTGTTTGCATCCTCGCTCAGAGGGAAGATGGCCAGAAAATTGACCCAAACATTCTTCACTAATTCCTTGTGAGTGGGTTCATCCATGACAGGTCCCTTGAGTTGAACCAGGCTGCTGCACAGAGTCGCCTCGGGCAGGAAAACATCTGCTAAAATTGCCTCTTGGTCCTGATCCTGCCTCAGTGAAACGATTGGAAGGAGGTCGGCCCCTTCACTGCTAGGAGAAGAACTCTTGTACGACGTCAGCTGAGCTGTGAATTTGGCGAATTTCTTCCCAGTGAATATGTGTATGTTTGGGTCAAGGACCAGATCAAAATCTTCCAGGTCACTGGAGAACTCAAAGGACAACGAGCTCGACCTCTCCGGTGACAGGATGGAAAACTTTTCCAGATTTTTGCAAATGGAGTCCATTTTAGTGTTAAAACTATCGCTCTGTTTGGTTTCCGGTTTGGATGAGGAAGCAAGAGTTGCCTCACCGCTACAGTTGTGGTGCGTGTCACTTCGGGACTTTTTCCCTGGGTGACGTCTCCCTGAGCTCGGACTTGAGCTTCTAAAATCTTTGTCTGGGGACTTCTCTGGGCTTTCGATACTGTGCTTAGAGCTCCTGTACTTCCAGTGCCTGGGGGATCTAGAAATGTCCAGGTGAGACTGACTAGAGAAGATCAGCGACCTACCCGTGGCAGGCTCCCAGGTGATTGAAGAAGATTGACTGTCTATGTCGAGGATTTTTGATGACATCAGCAGGGAATCAGACGATTTTGTGTCTGATGAGTTTAAAATGTTTGAACCAGAAGTTAACGAATCAGGCTCAGTTTGTATCGCCACATTGGTTGCTGGGACATTTTGAACTCCAGTGATATCTGTTGGCTGAATGGCCGAATCTTTGGCTAGATTGGGGGTTATACATTCATCCCCTGACTTGGGTTCACTAGACTTTGGTTCACCAGACTTGGGTTCACCAGACCTGGGTTCACTTGAATTAGAAGTTAACGAATCAGGTTCCGTTTGTGAAGCCACACTATTGTCTGGCACAATATTAACCCCACTGTTATTTGCTTGCTGATTTGCTGTAACCGAGTCTTTAGGTAGATTGGCTGTTAAAGATTCATCACATGACCTGGTTTCACCTGACTTGATTTCGTCTGACTTGGGTACAGCTGATGCTGCTGTAGTTTGACTAGATTCTTGGCTCGTGCATGTAGACACCACATCCTCTAGAGCACCCGACTGGGCATTCTTAGTGTGATGTTGAGTGGGGTTGCTTCTGGGAGACAGATAGTTTTTTATCCTGGAAAATCCACTCCACAGGGAAGAGAACATACCCGATGATGATTTGACCTGTGGCTCAGAATCTTTCCCGAGTCTGTTGGGTTGAACTTGTTTGCAGACATCTTGCGATGAGGCCTCGGGACTGCCCCACTTTTCTTCAGCGTCATTACCACTTTCAGCTGAAACGTACGCCGTGTTATTCTCGCCACCGCTGTCATCCAGCTTTGAGCTTGCTCTCTGCTTCAGAATGAACTGCTGACCCACTTGATAGGGCAGGGCTTCCACAAAGTCTGTCCGGGACTTGAGGAAAGTCTGCATGGAGATGACGGTTCTCTGCTTCTGAAAGAAGTTCTCTAATTTTTCTAGGCCCTTTTCGGATCTGAGGTCAGCGAATGCATCAAGGAATGGCCAGTATTCTTGCCAGGATGTAGAATGGACGTCAGCCAATTCGCTACGGTAAGAGATATATACAAAAAGAAAATCAAGCAAACCAAAAAAAATAAAAAAATCTTTTGTTACATTGGTTCTCTATCAGAAAAAGTTGTAAGGATGATATTATAACACCATATTTCTAAATTTAATTCTATACAAACTGATAAATTAACCCTTGCAATTATGTCCGATGCATGCCATTGACAGAGGAAAACTCATGCCACAAACATCTGTCAATCATTTTACAACAGATAATATTGATAAAAAGAGGCCAATATTAATATACAGAGGCCAATACACTAAAAAAAACTCTTTGACAGCAATTTGTTTAGAGTAAAGTTTAAAATGTTAAGAAACAATTTAGATCAAACTGAACATGACTTTTTAAATTTAAAAATATTCATTTCATTTTGATCATCAACTAAGATTTACTATTTTGAATAATTGAAAAGCTGTCTTAACTTAAAGGAGACTACAGCTTGTATCTAGCAGCGCTTTCCACAAAAGTTGATGTCTAATTGTTAACTACAGCAGTTTCTATCTTTTTGAATTGTTGGGGTCATTAGTCTCTAAATTGGTTTAAGAGGGAAATAGCTATTTATTAGAGGAAACTTTTCTTTGTGTGTGTTCATCTCAAGACCCTCAATGTTAAACCAATCATAAAGTGAATCAAGCTGAATGTTAAACCAGGGGTAATAAGGGGAGAGACTGCAATCAGGTTAGTACAAAATAAAATGAGTAAAACAGAGTATTGTTAAACCTGAAAAATTAAACGCAACAAAACAGCGTTAAACCAATCATAAAGTGAATCAAGCTGAATGTTAAACCAATCATAAAGTGAATCAAGCTGAATGTTAAACCAATCATAAAGTGAATCAAGCTGAATGTTAAACCAATCATAGTGAATCAAGCTGAATGTTAAACCAATCATAGTGAATCAAGCTGAATGTTAAACCAATCATAAAGTGAATCAAGCTGAATGTTAAAAACCAATCATAAAGTGAATCAAGTCGACATCAAGTCCGATTCGCTTCATACTACGAAATAACATCAAGAATTTTTTTAATTTCTTACCGGCCAAATCGTTCAAAACCCCGGTCACCATCAACAATCTTCAGGTTATCCCTGTGGCTTCGATCGTGCCGTTTCATTCTTGGAGATTTCCACTCTCGCTTGAAGTCTTCGGCCTGCAAGAGATGAAAAATTTATTTTTGTCATTCAGTCATTTATAGCAGGCCTGCACAACTCACAATGTAAGGTGGGTCATAATACTTAATGAAAAATTTGTGCGGGCCAAAAGAAAATAGGACAGGGAGGAAAGCTATTAAGAGAATAATAATAAAAAAATACTTCGTTACTACGCGGGCCACAAAGTGGGTGCTGGCGGGCCGCATGTGGCCGGCGGGCCGTGTGTTGTACAGGTCTGATTTATAAAAAATAAAAGCATTCCTTTATTCTACATAACTCCTGCTGGTTGGCTGGAAATGCCGCCTCTCGATATAAAGAAAAAAAGAAAATAAAAAGAAACCATCCTTAATTAATCTGGCGCCAATCCTTGGAACAATTTTTAAACTTGTCAACAGGTCGGCCAAACTTAAAGGTTTGCAGAGCCTAGGCCCAGACCAGCACTTTGCTACTGGTCATTCAAGGAAGCTTGAAGAGTTTAAATATATCAAGGAAATACAATCACTGGTAACTTGTTTTTGTCCAATGTGACCTGCAAAGTTACATCATAAAATCAGTCTCCAAGAAGAAAACATTCTTTGGACACCTCTCCTCACCTAAAAGAAAATGATCTCTCTCCTCACCTAAAAGAAAATGATCTCTCTCCTCACCTAAAAGAAAATGATCTCTCTCCTCACCTAAAAGAAAATGATCTCTCTCCTCACCTAAAAGAAAATGATCTCTCTCCTCACCTACAAGAAAATGATCTCTCTCCTCACCTAAAAGAAAATGATCTCTCTCCTCACCTAAAAGAAAATGATCTCTCTCCTCACCTAAAAGAAAATGACCTCTCTCCTCACCTAAAAGAAAATGATCTCTCTCCTCACCTAAAAGAAAATGATCTCTCTCCTCACCTAAAAGAAAATGATCTCTCTCCTCACCTAAAAGAAAATGATCTCTTTCTTCAAATTTAACCGTTGTTTGCACCCTTAAAGCATTTTAAAATAAAATAATGGAATTTAAAAAAATTGATGAAAAAATTTAAAAAATGCGAATCTCACCAAGAAATAAAAGTTTTCTGAGCAAAGTTTGTGTTTGCTCAATTTCTTTGCCATGTCGCCTATTTTCCCATGTTGCCTATTTTCCCATTTGCCTATTTTCCCATGTTGCCTATTTTCCCATGTCGCCGATTTGCCCATGTTGCCTATTTGCCCATGTCGCCTATTTGCCCATGTCGCCTATTTGCCCATGTTGCCTATTTGCCATATCGCCTATTTGCCCATGTTGCCTATTTTCCTATGTTTCCTATTTTCCGATGTTGCCTATTTGCCTATGTTGCCTATTTTCCTATGTTGCCTATTTGTGCATGTCGCCTATTTCCCTATGTTGCTTATTTGCCCATGTCGCTTATTTGCCTATGTTGCTTATTTTCCCATGTCGTCTATTTGCCTATGTTGCCTATTTTCCCGTGTCGCCTATTTTCCTATGTCGCCTATTTACCTATGTTGCCTATTTTCCCATGTCGCCTATTTGCCCATGTTGCCTATTTGCCCATGTTGCCTATTTTCCCATGTTGCCTATTTTCCCATGTTGCCTATTTTCCCGTGTCGCCTATTTGCCTATGTTGCCTATTTCCCTATGTTGCTTATTTGCCCATGTCGCTTATTTGCCTATGTTTCCTATTTTCCCATGTCGCCTATTTGCCTATGTTGCCTATTTTTCCGTGTCGCCTATTTGCCTATGTTGCGGCCCCTCAAGTGTACCTACGAACTCACCGTAACCCACCCTCTCCCCGAACCGGATGACTGGATGGTCCTAGCCCACGTTGACTGACCACCAACAACACCAACATGAACAGCTGTCTCTTGTTGCTTGACTCTTTTTTTTAATACCTTGAGCCCCAATTAGGGTTACGATGTTAACATCACAAAAGATCCAGAGCACTAGTGTACTTTATCGCCCCTTTCAACGAAAAAGAAAAAAAGCTTTCAGTTGGCCCAAAATGTCGTCACTATATTATTATATAATTAACCCCCACCCCTTCCTACGTCACTGCACTTTGAACTGGGGGGTGTTAAGTTCTAAAATTTGACGCCGTAGCCAGGTCTGGTTGAATGCTGTGTCGCACCATTGGAGTCAGTGCTTTCACGTGTTGTAACGGGTTACTACAACAAAAGGTTCCAGCACTGACCAAACTTCTAAGGGGTCCCTCCCCTCTGGTAGGATCACGATAAGCCGACTCACCTCTTGCGGAGACATGGGACCGGCAAACGCCCAGACTTTCATGTTTCTCAAGTCCCTGAGAGATGCGTCTGTGTCCGTCGTCGGGTGGAAGGCATCTTCGATCTCCGACACCAGCTTGTACGGCGAAGTCGGGGTGTACGGGTTGCCGACTTTAGCGTACGGAGCAGAGGTGTCGCTCCTGATGAGGGGGACGTAACACGTCCCATCTGTGACAAACGTGGAGAATGAGTTATCTTGCTTCATGTAACATACTTAACAACGAGTGAAATAGCTGCCATTAATACCATGCGGCAATCAAAACGTAGACATCGAAATTGACATGAATAAAATCGATAATTTGTAAAGTTAAACAAAATAATTTAACATTATAAAAATGCACTCAGAAAAGTAACACACGTGTAGCAGTCATGGTATGTAGTCGCTTAGCACCGTGGTATGTAGTCGGTTCGCACCGTAATATGTAGTCGGTTCGCACCGTGGTATGTAGTCTGTTCGCCAGAACCCATTCCAAATTTGTTTGTTGAACTCGGCAAACCGGTTATTAAAATTGCTCTGGTAACGCAGTGCCGTCTCTTAAGTTGGCCCCTGGTCAACCGCCTAATGGTCTAATTACACATTAATCATCCTAACCCTACGTCTTTTTTTAAGTCCATCCCCCATCCACAATATTTTTTGGGCCGTCCATAAAGTGCAACACTCTCGGTAAAAAAAATTATTTATCAAATATTTATTATTATTTATTTAAAAGTAATTTTACATTTTTGAAGTAATTTTTTCGTGTGTGGGGGGGGGGTGGTGTTAGATTTGTGACAGCGGTTAGGGCTCGCATTTTTCTTCGTAAACGCAAATTCGACCAAGCTAAAACACTTCTGAAAGAGCTGCATTGGCTGCCGGTCCGCGCTCACATAGAGTACAAAATCGCAACTCTATGCTACCTCTGCTTGCATGACCTGGCGCCATCCTATCTCAAAGCGCAAATGACGCCTTATGTACTCACAAGACAACTCCGCTCATCTGATAGTGGCAAACTCTCGATATCACGTGTTCGCCGTGAGACTTACGGAAGGCGAACTTTCGCATTTGCTGGCCCAACAATTAGGAACACACTTCCTGTCGCTCTCAGAAACAGCCAGACACTGGAGTCCTTCTAGACCTAATTTAAAACACATCTATTTTCGCAAACACTTGCTTGGGTGATGTTGTCTACCATCTTTTCCAGCTAGCTATTATCGCCTAGATGTATATTGGCTTGTGTTGTTTATGGTTGCAAGGGATGAAAGACTTAGAATGGGTATTCTCGTGTGTAGTTTTTGTAATGTTGCGTTTTGTATTTCAATGTGGTAAAATATAGATTGTTTCATTTCTCTTTTTACATGGTTGGCTTCGTTCCCGAACCCTGTTCAATGCACTGAGATAGCGCTTGTTCCAACCTAACCATAGTCAATATTTCAACACTGGTCAGTGCACTGGGATAGCGCTTGTCACAACCTATCCATAGTCAATATTTCAACACTGGTCAGTGCACTTGGATAGCAGTATCAGTATCATGATATGAAACAGGTTCATTAGTATCATTATATCAAACGGGTTCATCAGTATCATTATATCAAACAGGTTTATCAGTATCATGATATCAAACAGGTTCATCAGTATCATGATACGAAACAGGTTCATCAGTATCATGATACGAAACAGGTTCATCAGTATCATGATATCAAACAGGTTCATCTGTATCATTATATTAAAAAGGTTACTCAGTGTTATAATCTTACATTGTAGATTATTGGTACTTACCTTGTATGAGGTTGATGATTTTTGCTTTAGTTGTAGCGGGACTTGGGCCATTATACCGGGAACATGCCACCTGCAAAAAAAAAAAAACACGAAATGATGCATATATAATCTTACATTGTAGATTATTGGTACTTACCTTGTATGAGGTTGATGATTTTTGCTTTAGTTGTAGCGGGACTTGGGCCATTATACCGGGAACATGCCACCTGCAAAAAAAAAAAAAACACGAAATGATGCATCTGGTCATAGGCGAGTGGTACGTGGGTCTAATCTACCTGACCTGCGAATTGGTCAATTTAGTTAGTTAAACTGTGGAATAAAATGAGCCATAATTTACTTTCAAAACTTTCTAACAATCTCCCTTCAATAGCATGTCATTTACATTCAAGTGAAAGACAGCGAGATGTCTTTTCAAATGTCATTGACATTGAAGTGAAAGACAGCGAGATGTATCTTCAAATGTCATTGACATTCAAGTGAAAGACAACCAGATGTCTCTTCATTGACCTATTTATTTGTTTATTAATTGGACGGTTGGGGTGATGGAGGAGGAGGGGGGGGGGCAGGGTTATGAAAATAGCCCTACATGGGAGGTCTAACCGCGTATGACAATACCATCAAGTTTTCACGGGCACAATAAAAAGCTACGAGCCCCCACTAGCACATATAGTTTTATTGGGAGTGGTGTCGGCTCGGTCAAGGAAGTAGATCGTAGAAGAAAAACTAGTTTGATTGTTGACGAGACACCTACGACCAGATCTACAAATACCACACAAGGCCACCGCAGTCTTCTGGGAAATTGCTCGTTATACTCCGGTTTTCAATAATGATAGTAAGGGAATTCCCCGAACATTTTTTTTTTAGAGGCGTGGGGTAATCAACGTAGAGCTGGGGTCTCAAACTCGCGGCCCGCGGGTCATTTGCGGCCCGCAAGACGACATTTTGCGGC